TCCCCCCTCATGTCCGCACAGGCTTCCACGACGCGGGGGCTTACAACGGTTATTACCGGCGCTAATCATACTCTTCGTCGGGTAATTACCAGTACGGTATCGTACGCTCAGTAATCCCTCCCGAATCACATAAATGATGAAGAAAATATTCTCATTTCCCGTTTAACATCCGCCTCATGAACCGCCTTAGGCATTACGGTGCGTACGGAAAACGAGCACGCCGGAGGACTTTATTATTAAATCAATACACAAAGATTGGGGTATCGCACAGGTGGGAATAGGTCTTATTTTCTGGCACGACTGCGTAATCTATTTTTTTTTTTTTTTTTTTGCTGAGAATTTTAAGCGTCCAAGTAGCCCGTTATCTAAAGACCGAGACAGCGCCGTCGCAACGCATTATATCCTCATTATCCTCTTTATCCGCAAAGATATTCGTACCGACGAAATCGTCTCGTCTCACGAGCGCGAGTACTTTCGCGCGTTCACACCGTCAAGTACAAAGTGTTTTCTGGAGCTATAAAAGAGCGAAAAGAAATGAGTGAGAGAGAAGATGGAAGGAGGAAGGATCCACCTCCTCTCTCTGTTTCTTCTTACTGTCTCGTACTCCAGAGTGCACGTAATCCTGTCGTTGGAATATCCAACATCCCTCGACGCGCCGTCTTTGTCGAGTTTCGCGTACTTTTTGTTTCGCGTTTTGCGAAAGCTGTGTAGGGCACCGCTCTAGCCGGAGCTTACATCGCGAGCGGATTTCGCTCGAAATAAAGAAAAGATGAAAGCTAATGCCGCTAAAGCTGCTCCTTTCGGACGAGAACATGTAAGTTGTCAAACGTACACGTGTTCGGCTACGGGCGCGAAAGGAGGAAAGGAAAAAGAAAAAAAAACGTCTGTTTAATTTAATTCGCGCTTGTAAAACTCTTTGTACGCGTGCGGGAATTAAAGTTCGCGCGAGCTTCTCGAATCCGATTAGAGCGGCGATTAAAGCAAAGCTCACGCGACGGGTTTAAGTTAAACGGCCGAAAACTCATCGCTCTTCGTTTTCTGTTGTAATACCAGGCAAGCCGCTATGCATTCGCGAACGCTATGTGATTACATAAAAGCGACGAAGAAGTTACGAACTATTTCATTGCGGACGCGCTCGAGAATCGATAGTGCGCTGCTACCATCTTTCCCGTTTGCGCACCGATTTGCACTAACACTCCGCCCGTGATTCAAGCCGTTCAGATTTCGCAACAAAGTTCCCACTTTCGTGTGCACGCCCACAACGATCGCGCGAACTTGGATCGTGTCTTCGCGCCACGCGTCCTCAACGTTCTCTCGCGCCCCACCGTTTTCCACCTCCCGACGCCGCGTCTCGCGGACGAGTTCGTGCAGTCTCGCGCGCTTTTTACTTCCGAGACGAGAGAACTTCCAGAGCACCGACTAGGGGAAAAGAAAAAGAAAAAAAACTAGGAAGCGCGGCTAAGAGCAGCGCGAATAATGCATAGTAGGAATTAATCGATTTTCCCGGCGCTTTTTTGCCGCGGCGTCGCGACGCCGGGCGTCGCGTCGCATTCGTGAATGCTGCTCGTCCGGGGTTGTCTATGCGCGCAGTCAAATCTGAAGGAAAACTTCGGGAGTAATTTCCAAGAGTCCGGCAAGGATTATCCTCGCTCTTTCACTCTGTGCAAGCTCTCGGGCAAGACGTGCTTGGTCTTTTCAAAGGAAATAATTCGACCGCGGTGTATCCGCGCCGCACGTAGGAAAGCTCCCGCTGATACTGACGGTTCTAACTTCGCAGGTTTCCAAAGGCAGTGTCTCGGCATTCATGCTGACCCCCCCTGACCGCAGGAATGCGCGGCTTCGAATACCGCGTGCCGGATGAGTCTTAGCTGCGGTCGCTCATTACGTTGCCTTAACGGATGCGATAACGGAAAGAGACAGACAGACTATACACGGTCGTAAGGCGAAATCCGACCGGTAGCAACATAGTTGACTCGTCGAGCTTTTAATCTCGGGGAATCTTTGGGACCTTCGGGCGACCAAAGGAAAACTTTCGCAGTCCGTCCGGCACTCACGACCGTCCGAACGACCGTACTTCGTCCTACCTTCGCTTTACCTTCTTCTCTTTGCCCAGCTACTTCCGCAAACATCATTCGCAAATCTCTATGTAGTGCAAAGAGAGCATTGCCGCTCGAACTCCTCGGATTTACCGACGAATTAGAGATCTGTATGGGGTAATCTACCGGGAAAAAGTCGGTTACAGATGGGGGAGAAAAGACAAACCGATGAATGAACTAAGAAACGGAGTTGCGCGGGAAAAATTTCTTTAATTTGTTCCGTCGTCTTAAATACTATATTAAAAATGTTCTTAATTATTTTCGACGGAGAGCGCTTGCATCTTGAGATGCACAATTTAATGCAACGAGACATAGTCGTACGGAGTTACGCGCAACTTCATTACATGCGCGCGCGTACGAAGGGTTACATGTCAAATATGCGTGCAAATTGGATCAGCAGATCGGTTTGAGAAGCCCGTCGAAATTAATATCCGTTCCGTTAGTTACCAGAGATCCGATACGAAGGGCTTAGAATTCGTGATCGCTTGGTGGCGTAGATACCTGCCCGCAAGTACAGATTAGATCAATGCGGTGTGTTGTGCTTGAATATAGTAGACACAAGGTACATATATAGTGCGTTAACACGTGGATGTAGCGGATTTGCGACGTCCGTTATCAATTAACGCACTGCTTGATAAGTCTTTTGAATGTCAGTGCTCGCCACAGCGGTCATCGATATTTCTGCAACGAGAACTGCTTGAGAAATCTGAGTGTCTTATCGCGCGTTTCAAGTAACGGTTGTATGCGTCAGCGCTGAAAATTCGCGGTATCTACACATGATGCATCTGCTCGCGCTTTGCTTGCATACTCGGCAGCGGAAATCACTGCCGCGTGAAGTAAGATTAGACGTTCATCTAGAGGCTCGCAGCAACCGCCGGTGTTCCTTAAACATCCGCGGAATGCACGGCAACAAAATTGGTCGGTGATAATTTCGAAACAAGTGTCCGCAAAGCGCTACCGGTTGCGGGTACGTAGCGCGCTTCACGAAGCCCCGAAACTTCGTGCCAAACATTCGCGCGAACGCGTAACCGACATTCCGCGTACACGCGTGTGCATTCCACCGGAAGAACGACGCGTTAGAAGGACAATAACCGAGCCATTGTAATGAAAATTCCGCCATTGGCGCGACAGGAAAACAGAACGGCGAGCCCCAGCCGCAAATCCCCCAAAAAGTTTCCCAGAAAATGCTGCGCTCATAGAAAACGCTCTGGAACGCATAGAACTCTCGCATTATGCGCGTGTGTATAGTTGTGACGCGCTCGTAAGCATCGTGTCTCCCCAGCATGCGGTCTCTTGCTTATACGTAACACACGCGAAAGCCGGCACGCACCGGCGATGCTCTCTCCACACACGACTTCGAAGCCAACCAGCCAGCCAGGCAGCCAGCCAGCCAGCCAGCCAACCCAAGCAAGCAACCGTCCGACCAGCCAACCGACCAACCGACCATTCCACATTCCATTCGACGGTTCTCTCTCTCCCCCGGCACTATAATGAAGTCAGCCCAGCGTTGTAAGCCCCGGTAATATCGCGTGGCAGGGCCCTCCCCGAGATAATATTGGTGATGTATGCTAACGGGCATTTCGTTGCCCGGGGTACGTTCGTTTTTACGTTCTACTCGTACCGTACGTTTTCTTAAACGATTTACCGCGAAACGAGAAGAGAGACGGACTAAAGTGGGTGGGGAAGGTCAGCTTTCCTCAAGAAAAACGTCGAGGAGATTTCATCCCTGGTGTATAAGGCGGCGTAAAACGTTTTTCACACGTATGGCAAGTGGCGAGCCATAAACTATCGACGGTCAACTCTAACTCGGTGAAAGGTCATATCTTAAATTGAAATAAATGAGAATAACGAAAAATAAATTAAAATCTGTCAGAAGAATTTTAAAATTCACAGAATTATTCGAGATTAACGGTGTCAAGTATTATTTAAAGAAATTAATGCTGTGAGAGATATTAAATTCTAAAAAAGGCGAATAAAATTTTCCGTGATTAATTTCGTATGAACTTTGTCCGTTTGCATTAAATACGCTGATTGTATTTCATTAAACGTAGGTGTGAGCGATTGCATTTACTTGTTAGCAACATTTGTACTGCAAATGGCTAGTCAGGGTTAAATGGAACGATCTCCAAGTCACAATATTTAATTTGGATCATATATTTGCAAATTAATCATGATCGATAGATATTTCGATTGTACACTGCAATCGTCTATCGATTGCTGCGAATAAATCACGTTAATATATTATTTTTATTATTGTAAAGAAATGTAGATAGCAAAAAGCGCAAATATGTGCTCTCTACTGTTAAATAATCACAAAAAATGATAATGCTATCAATTATTGTTTACCTTGCATTTAGAATATCGTAGTAACATATAAAACTACTTTTATTCTATCTATCTCGATGGAAAGAGATCTATCTATCTCTTTCGGTTGATATCGAGAATATTGCGAACATGTAACAAATTTCGCGTAATTTATCTCCTCGCGGATTACAACACCTGTGTTGTTCGAAATTTCCCGTATATGATTATCCTATAAATGTATGACAAATTTCAGTACCGAAACATGCGCGAGATTCTGTAATCGCCGTGTACAATATTCGACAGTCGATGGAAGCGAAAAATCGCGATACCACGTGGTATCGCTATCGTCGCGCTCGGCTGTTTCCGCTTCCGCTTGCGTCACAAATCTGTCCTACCGTAACGAAAATAAAATAAACTTGGTTGCAATATTCCCGTGGAAATATTATTGGATGACTCATACTCTGACCGTAGATACCTGCCCATAATTATGAAAATGGTCCTACAGCCATTGAGAAACTACTAATGATTCTCGATTATCATTAACTCCGCCTTGCGTAATATCGCTCCGTAAAATCTCATAGCACTTAGAAATAATCTAACCTTTATGATGCCTGAGATGAGAACGACCGCAGCATGGCTGCTCGAAATAAGCGTGTCCGGGATGAGCGCCGGCGGGCCTGTTGGCCACGCTAGGGCCCAGAAGTTGTCCGAAGACAGCTGCGAGAACAGCTGCCCTAACCATCGTCATGGCGTCCGGTAGTAGCTTACGCCGATGCATGATCACGTAAAATCAAAACACCTTCACTTATCTGTCGAACTTTTTCTCGCGACTCGTCACGATACGATCCCTTGGCGAATTCGATCCCCGTTTAATCCCGAAGCATTTCGCGCACGACAATTAACCGATCGCACTCCCGATTGTCCGACTCTTGTCCCGACGATCGCACTTACTAAAGACCGCGTGGGCTGCGTTGCCCTGGCCTTGAGTGTAGATGACGGTAGAGAGACTCTCTGGCTACGGTGTGGTTGTTGCCCTTTGCCGCTGGCAACGCAACGACGGCCGTTCACCGACGAATAAAGCGTCTTTCTTCTTCTCTCTGGCTCGTGTTTAATCTCGCCGTCCTTGTCGCGCTTCGACGTAAGATATACTCCAAGGTAGAAACTCGACCGCGTGTTGCTCCGTTCGGCTGCTCTCTCCTTGCTCTCTCTCTCTCTCTCTCCTTCTCTTGTCCTTGTTCACCTCCTTCCGTGCCGCCTCGGAGGACAAAGGAATTCTCTTCCTTCGCCTTTTATTCTCCGTACTCGGCCCGGTGCCCTTAAGCCGCAGGTAAGCCCTCAGAACGACAGAGGACGTACGATTCTTGCTTCGATTCCGAGCACAGATTTTACGAAATTCTTATTTTTTTCTGATCATTCGTTCGACGCTGTTTATAAGCGCTGTTGATCGTTGAATGTGTCTTATCTCCTGTCAGCGAAATCCGAAGCACGCGTCTGTTATCGTTAACGACGTTTCTCAACAAGGTGCGCAACGATAAGAAGGTGAAAATCGGAGCGTCGCGTGTTAGTTACCAACTGAGGAAATCTTGATTAACTAAATATAAAGAACGAGATGCGTAGAATGGTCACATCTGTTGCTCGAGTCGATAAACGCGACTTCGGGATCGGCGCGTTGCTATTCCCTATCACGCGTACATCTTCGTAATATCGAAATTAATCGTCGATGCGACGTGTTGGCGGCACATACGAGTGCATCCGTCACAACATGATTGAACTGCCGTTAAAGGCTGAACCGTCGACGATGAAGACGCGCGTAGCGACGCTGTCAACCGGACTAACTCGCCAAGTACGACGAATGACGATTGCGAAAACCTCCCTCGTCGGAGGCCGCGGCACGACTGTTACCCTCTGACGCGCGTTGCCGCGTTTAGCCGAGCTCGGTGCTGTTCGGCCAACGTCGGCTCCGCTCGGCCGGAGCCGCTTCGGAGTCGTGCCGCACAACTCTATGATCCATCCACGGCTCTCTTCGCAATCCGAGTTACTTGCTCGCCGCGAAGAGGCGAGGAAGCGTCAGTCCTCAATATTTCTCGTAACCCTAGCGCGCATCCGCTTTTTATGATGGCTATGAAAAATTTTAGGTCGCGCGACAACGCGAAGGAAGACGGAAAATGGAGGGTGGAGAGAGGAGCAAACGGATGCTCCAAGTCGAACTTTACGGCACTTTCAAAGGCGCCGTCTGAATTATGAAAAAGTTCCGTGCTTTTTTTCTCAGAATGTCAAAGAAACGCACCACCTTACTTGCCGTATCCGTCAAAGCTGATAAGCTTCTTCGATTCGCAAATCTTTCGACGGATCTCTCATGCGATTATCGAGCTCTATGCTCTGCTTATCAATAGGCGTACATAGGAGTTGCTGATAAAAAAATATCTCAGATTCGTAAGGATAGAAACGATAAAAGACGCAATATATTGAAATTGATATAATAAATATTAAATGTATATTTAAAATTGATGATTTAAATTATTAATCTATATCTTTTTACTATATATATATAATCTATATCTTTAGAAGATATTTTAGAAATATATATAAGAGAGAGCTCTCATGTCGACATAGATTTGCTTCAATATTATTCGATATTTATTTGAATATTTAAATCTTTCCTTATACTATATAAATCAAATTATCAATAATCCGATTTCTTATCAAATTGTATATAATAAAATTTTAAAGAAATTGAAAATTACTTAGCAGATTGATGTAAAAAAAAAATCACATAGAAAAATCGAAGTACTTAATATAGAAGTCAGTTAATAATGTAAGTGTGATATATTTATATACACACGCACATAATACTATGTTTCGGTTTGATAGTTGACGCAAACGAACGATAATTGAAGTAAAACGGTTAACACGATTATTCCGACTAAATCATTTGGTTAGCGAAAATTCAGTTAGCGGTCTACTGAGCGCATGCAAATGTAATTACAATGCGCAAGCGAAATCTTGTTATTCTAGGTGACTATTCGTATTATTTGTATGAATTGAGCAGGATGAAGAAACGACAATCGCGATCATGCTCAAATAACTTTTTCTCGCATACCACATTCAGTTATTTATATAAATTTTAGCTTTCCTCTCATTTCAGCAGAATATGCGCAAGAGATGGTGTAAACAAATATTAATCGTTTCCTATCCGAGTGTTGATAAAACCAGTAGAAATATACATTATCAGAGAATCCACATTTCAATAACATTATATTACTTCGGCGTCCACATGTCACGAGATGAATTTGTATAAACATATTACAGAGGTATCGAGATACACGTTCGACATTGCAAATGTTCACCACATCGGACGCGCAGATGCAGCACGAAGGATACCGCGAGAACGAAGTCAAGCGGGGTGTATGAATAAGTCGATATGCTAATGCGAAAATCCTCAAAGTTAGCTGAGCCCAGGCTGAGCTGCGAGGAAAGTTGCATGGCATCCAGGCCGCGGTACAAAGTGTCTCTCGGCGACGCGGAAGGGGAGACAATTTTGTATCCCCGTAGACGCGGTACCCCCCGGTTATTACAGTCGTAGTGAGTAGAGACCACTTCCTTTGTTGTTCGCGACTAGACTGGTGAAGGTGCAGCGTGGTCGACAAAGGTGAGGGAAGTCGTAAGAATTTTAGAACAAAGGGAAAACCAGCTCGGGGAGTCGGTGTGGAAGCGTGGCTTTTCTTAGCTCCCCACCCCGTTCTCTCTCTCTTTCTCGCCTTCGTTCACACTAAAGCGGTCGGTCGGGTGCCGCGACCAACAAATCCACCAAGCCGCTCTATCCCATTTCATTGAAATAGTTTAGAATTGCATGAGGCTATTCGGTCGGCCTCTCCCATTGTCGCGCCGCTTCTTGCGACTGCCCTTATACTGCGCGGTCCATCCGGAGAGCCGTCTTTTCGAGGGGAAACGCGTACGGTAAGAGCGGGCAAATCGCCGGAAAAACCGTAAACCGCATCTAGTCGGTACCGTCGCGTTTCAACGTTTGAAATATAAAGTGCACACGACACGAGCAGACGCGGATGTGTCTGCGAAATCGCGCCCGTCGTGGAATACTCGATGGTAATCTGCGCAGCAGCGAATGCGCTGAAGAAATTGCGAAATGTCTGACGCTATGGAATATTCTATAGTCATACGAGTGATGCGAGAACCGTCTATTCACTTATAATATCGGAATTGCACATTTTAAAAGAACTTTACAAGGACTGTCACGTGTGTAATAGCGCAAGAAGAGAAGTAATTAGAATAGAATCGAGATGACACTTGGTAGAAAAATGATGTCTTTACATTGAGAAGTGATCAGTCATGCGGACCGATGTTACCTCGCGAACGACATGATCCTTCGTTAGTTCCACTTCAATGGTAGCAAGCGTCTGATCCATCGTAAGACGCGAGTGATGAGACGGCTTCAGCGCGGGCGATATTAAATATTCAAAGACGTCAAATCGAGTCCACATTATCCTCTTATTCCGCGGGGGCGCTTCGCGCGCCTTTGACGCTCTCACGCCTCGTTGCACTCGAGTCGCACGAATCGACGGATCTCTTTTTCGTACGAACGAATCGAAAATATTTGTCGCCGCGAGGATCAACAAAATCTGTGCCCTTAGTCGAGCGTTATCCCACGCGTTTTCACAATCTTGTACGGACTTCTGCCTTTTCATTTTTACAATCGTTCTTTTATCCTCCTTCATTGTACGAAAACACGATGAAATACATAAACTCAGCGTGCCGTCGATATATAAGATAGTAAACAAAATTATGGAAAATCGATAAGTTACGCTGCGCCAAGAATATTAAATTTTATACACATTTTATGACAAAAATTCTCGTGACAAATAATAATATATTATCGTTATGAACTGTCACGCTTGCGGAATAATCGTCGCAATTATCTGCCTAATACGCGTCGACGGCTGAGAGACATCGCCCATCCATATTGCACGCGAAGCCTTAAACAACGCCGTAATTATCTGGCCGTCTCGTTTTTATTATTCAACGTTTCCTTCCGTCGAAAAACACGACAGCGGCACTATCTTGGTATAATTGAGACTCGCACACATCAACGCGTTTCTTATAACGAGATATTACTTCTTGCCGCTTCGGTGTCTTCCTCTCTGACGACTGACAAGTCGAAAGGTGCGTTCGTGTAAGAGGGCAATCCACTAAATTATACTTAATATCTATGCGGCACAGTCCTCACTTATCTCTCATCCAAAACACACGGTACGAATCGAGACCTCATCATCTCGTTTGAAGGGACGCCCTTCGCCTTCTCCATATGGGATCCGAGCAACATCTCACTTAACCGTAAGGGATCCGCATATTCTTTTGTTCCACGAAATCCGCTTAAACGTCTCTCGTATAAAACAGCGAGCAAAGATGTCAAAGAAAAATGTTGAATTTGCGAAGGCTACACTACGTTTACGGTTCGGCTGATTCCACTCCGAAAGAGGGCATTAAACTTCAATGTAACGTGAATGGATTTCCGACCTACGTATATACGACTTGAAGTATTGAATGAAGAATGATGCGCGTGTAGATTTTAATGTAAGTGATTTCGAGAAAATGTAAAGATTCTACGTACATTACGTACACGAGAAAAACTCTACCGCAGTAGAAGAAAAATCTAACAATCGCTTTTCATCAAAAGTAATATTACAAAATGGCCTGATAATGATCTTCTGATTTCTCATTCATGATTAATGGATTCGATTTCGTATCTTGTGTGCGTTCAACTTTAGCCGATTCCTCGGTCGATTATGAAGCCGGCGCAATTCTCGCATTCTCGCCCAATTACTCTCGCAGCTTAGATCGCATTCCGTACTAATCCGTGGAATACTTACTCGGTTAAAGCGTCTTTGATAAACGGCTGCGGTGCAGGAGCATCTATGTTGCTCGAGAAATGAAACTCACGGAGATGGAAACGACACGATATGCCGTCATCGTATAAGATTTTATTGCTAGCATATTTTACTGAAATTTCGAGATAAAAAAATGTTATCCTCCAAAGAATATTATACGTTCCAGACGCGTTGCAGAAAAAATTTTAATAATATATGCATATTCGAGTTAATAAAACGGCGTAAAAGAATATCGCGCAATCTTTTTCATTCGGTATGCGTATTTAACTTCAATTAATACATTGATGAGCGCGTTATTTGTCGATGGCGTGCAAATCCACGCGTTACTCGTCCGAGATATTATTCGCAAGTAACGCCGTGGGAAACAAGGCGTCGTTCATACCCGCTAATTTTAGTACGGGCCGTAATGTGCGTCTACGGTCGATTAGAATGCACCGTTGCGCCGGCCGTCAAAGCCCGTGTAAAACGCGTCTCGCAGTCCGCATTCCGTTCTAATCCACAGAATACTCAGTCAGGTAAAGCGTCTTTGATAGAGTACCTCTTTGGCACGGTAACGGGTATTGTGCGGAAGGTGAGCGAGAGAAGGGACCAGGGGATCACGCGAAGGTGCGGTAGGGAAAGAGAGAAGGGGGGGAAAAGTGGAGGAGGACACGGAGAATGGGTTCTGTATGGGGTATGATCATCAAAGTGACCCATACCCCGTTAAACGGCTCACGTCTCGATCACAGACAAGCCGGAGCAATGCCGCCGAGTGATACCAAGGGCTGCGCCGGCCGAGGGTGTCACGCTGGATTTAATTAATGCAATTTAGCATCCATCCATCATCTCTCGCGTTTTTGCCTTAACGAGGGCTGCTACCGCCGGCGCCGTCGTCGTTGCTGTTGCCGGCGCCATCGTCGTCGACGCCGGTACACTACACTAGGAGGTCTACGTGGCACTTTGATGACGAGCAAGCCTCTCTCGATTATATCGACACCTGGACCG